GATATGTAAATATCTGATATGCAGGATATGGGATATGTAAATATCTGGTATGCAGGATATGGGATGTGTAAATATACAGTACGCAGGATATGGGATGTGTAAATATCCAGTACGCAGGATATGGGATATGTAAATATCCAGTATGCAGGATATGGGATATGTAAATATCCAGTATGCAGGATATGGGATACGTAAATATCTGGTATGCAGGATATGGAATGTGTAAATATCTGGTATGCAGGATACGGGATATACATCCCCAAAGAGGACATATCCCACAGGTTGAGAACCACTGCCTTTGACATGGAGGCACTAGACTTAGAGAGTGCTTAGGAAGTATTTAGAAGCTATCAGCGTGTCTTGGAATCATGCTAGTAGGTCAGTCATCCTGTTAAGGGGCTGGAGGCATTGTGGTTTGAATGTGAAATGCCCTGTATGTTGAATTAGTTGAGCAGACCTACAGAACAGCCTTGGTGAGGAAGTCCTCGTGGGTTAGGCTACCTGTTGATTTAGTCAGGAGAGGAAGGGCCATTGTGTTAGTTATGGAGACAAGACCATCTGCTCTGAGCAAAAAGTTCTCTGCTGAACTCCTGGCCTGCCTTCCTCTGTCCCCAGGGTAGGGCTATAAAAAAGGCCACCTTGAAGGTCAGGGTGCATGTGTGACAACCCTGTGGAGGCCTCTGTCTTCTTTCTGGCCTTTCTAGCATTGCCTCTCCTTCCCAGGGTGTTGGGAATGACCATTATCTGGATATGACTGAGTAGAATGAAGGCACAGGCTTTGCCTCCCTCCAGAAGGTCAAAACAGGTTCCTATGCTCAGAAGTCATATGTGGCCATTGTCCAGGGCTCTCATCTGGTGAAAACTGTGTCTTTCTGTCAAGATTAATTCTCTCCCCTGGGGCCACAGAGGAGGGTAGATGGCGAGGGGATCCTTCCTGGAGGATTAGGCTATGGATGCACACAAAATTCTCAAGGTTGGAAACTAGCCAATGTCCTTCGCAGGCATCTGTCCTTGACTAGGTCTCTTCACAAGCTGCCTGATGTCCGAGCCCCTTCTGCCTGGCAGCTGGGCTCACTGTGTGCCTTGACCTATGACCCTTTGCCAACAGAGTACAGGGAGCACCCAAGCTGCCTTGCCACATCCCACTGACTGCAAACACCACATACCTCACGCAGAACCGAATGTCTCTCCAGTAAACACCCGAGCCAGCCATTCATGAAAACCTGTCTCTGTGTGTACTGGAACATGCCCTCCCTGTACCCAGACCAGCTTTGTGTGCCAGACAGTGACTCCACAGGGATGCCAGGCCTGTGATTGCATTGCTCCCTGCAGAGGGAAGCCCTGGGTTGTCTGTCTCGGGGGATACTCCCACCTGGAGCAGCACAGTGTTTCCTTGTTATTTCAGAAATTATTTTTAATAAAGATCTACTACTAGTCTTGGGATGACTTTTATGGATGCAGACAGGAGACAATGGGATAGACCCTCAACCAGAGGTGACTAACATCTTTGTAAGTGCAACCTGCTTGAGAAATATTGAGTCCTCAGTCATATCCATTTGG